ATTAGAAATGTATCATATCATTTAAACATATTAAGGAGATTTGACAAACAGACTTAAAATTAATTGTTTATTGGAAACTAAGTGTGCGTATCCAGTACACATTATTTGTTTCCTCAAATTATTTGAAGTATTTCATTACATAAACGTCTCAATGATCATCTCAAGAAGTATAATATTATGTAATATAAGAATAAATGTTAATGCATTTCATTTAAAATAATTAGAAAAATAATGCTGGACTAAACATTCTATTAATTAATGTAAATATAGGCGTTCAAATATGAAATTTTAAATAGATAAATATTGACAATTAACAATATTTGTTTTTTTATTTATTTAAAAAATTTAATTAATTTTTGTTTTTTAATTTATAACGTGAATTCCTTCATATGACGTATAATATACACAATAAACTCATGTAACACATTTATATAAATTTAATTTAATTTATTGTTTCTATTCCAACCTCTTAGGACACTTACAACGACACGTTAGGATATCGTTTTTCTTTAGTAAAATTTTACTTGGCACTAACAGTTTTTGACTGACTAGTATTAGAAAATTATTGTAAAGTAATAAATAATATAATATTTTAAAATGGAACAATAGTTTGTATAATCATATGCACAATATCGAAAGGTCACAATAAAGGGTACCCAATGGGCACCGTTTTGTGCTGTTTTCCCACCGATTCGATCCTCCGACCGGTTGTTGCTTCTCAATAAGTTTCGGACCTGTTTTATTTTACCGATCGTGTATCTCGTGGGAACCGATCGAATGAAAATACATCCCTTGTTAGGTTTTTATTATTAAAACTAGATATCACTCGGTATATATTCTTGCTGACCGTTTACAACAGTCCAATTTTGTTGTAACTATACGGAGTGATTATTTTAACGCTAGCCACTCAATTTTTCTTGAAATAATTTTTTTGGCTTTTGTTAGTTACGTAGGTATTTCCATGTATCTGTTATAAAACAATTTTTATTTTCGTCTCTTATAAAGGTGTCAACATTATTTTTTTAAATGACGACATGCATATTTAACAAGATTATAATAATTTTTTACTTAAGAAAATGGCTGATCGACAACTACTTTTGGAACATTATTTAGAATTGTAAAACAGTATACAAATTTTAATGACTTCTGAAATATTCGTCCAATACTTGAACGACTATTTAAAAGCTAGTTAATTATGTATTTTTTCAAATAGTTTCTATCAAGAAAATAAAATTGACATTCTTATATTTTATAACAGACAAATGGAAATTTATATATGTATATATATATACAGAGTGATCGAAATCTGGTAAGACACTTATTTTCTCAGAAACTATTGAGATTTTAAAATTTTTGTAAAAAGAAAAATTAGTAAGTTTATAAAACTGTACAATTATATGAAGTTAAAAAAAAAAATTTTTTATCCTCTCAGGGATAAAAATGTTTATTTATAATTTTTTTTTAATTGGAACCACTATTTTTGATTTGATAAAATGATAGAAAAATAAATTACAAACAATTTTCTTCTTATAATTTTTTTTATCCGAACAACCGTTTACGTTTACGTTTAAATACCGTTTATCGGTGGCAGTGCACCGATCCTTTTATCTTTTCTTTTTATCCTTTCGATTTGTTAAATCCTTTAGTCTCACAAAACCATAGACTTAGCTATTAATAATACACCAAAAACCCGATTTGAATCTATTATTGTTATCACTCATTTAGTGCGTAGTAAATTTTTATAGCTAATTTACCTGTCGTAACTTGATCAATAAAATTTGGTTTTTGCAACAGCAAATAAAAATAATGATTTCTATATTTAATATAGTAAAATGACAATAGAAATTTGGCCTAAAATCACTTAACTTTAACAAGCTGTAACGGATTGGATAAATTGGATTCGGATAAAAAAAATTATAAGAACAAAATTGTTTGTAATTTTTTTTTCTATTATATTATAAAGTTAAAAATAAGGGTTCCCATTTAAGAAAACTATAAATAAGGGGTTTTATCCTTGAAGGGACGAAAAAAATAATGGTTTGACTACATATTATTGTAGAGTTTTTTGAACTTGATATTTTTTCTCTGTAATAAAGTTTAAAATTCTCAGTATTTTCTGAGAAAATGAGTGTCTTACCAGATTTTGATCACCCTGTATATATATATATATTTATAATTAATAATGAAAGACAAAAAAGAATGTGAATAATATGGATCTTTTATCTAATATCAAATAAAGTATAAATTAACAATTATTTCTATCCACAACAAATCATTAAATAGAATTACAAAAAAATTACAATTGTTAATATTTTACTGAAATTTTCATTTAGGTGTAATTATTTTTAAATATTTCAACATAAATATTTATGCATAATAGTTAAATGATAGAAGTAAGATGAAATTGATCACTCATTGAACTGTAAAGAAGTTTTTGAAAGGTATTACGTTGAATATTTAAATAATAATTACTCTCATATTGGAGACTTCGAAGGTATTATCAATTTATATGTTAATCAAAACTGTTAAATTATGCAAATTACAATATTTACAGAATATTTAGATTGTTCATAAAATTTATTACTTGTCGAACACTATTTGTCCCTTTTAAATTTTCACAACAACGTTACTACCTATATCATTTTTATATAATTACTAAATAACATATAAAAAATCGAAGGAAATATACATCTGAAAATGTGTTACATTTTTAACTTCGTTGTATTTTTTAGGTAACAAATGATATAGTCATCATATCGATTTGAAAAATTTAAGTAAAATATATTTTAATGTAAATTTTAGACCACAAAGATTTTTATTGAAAGAGTTAATGAACAAAATAATATAATGTGTTATAATACAATATCTAAAATACATTTATTATTACTTGTATCTTAGAAAATAGAAATATGATACGAATAAAATTCCATTTTATTAATAATAAGAATAGGTAGACTACTTAAATAACTAATTTTTTTATTTAAATTCAATTAAAAATGGATTTTAATATTAATTACCTAAATGACTAAAGAATTGTTAGTTTTAATTAATACCGTAAAAAACTCATTGGATAAATAAATAAAATAATAAGAATTAAAAAAATTGTTAAATGCGTAATACTTTACCATACTTCTATTTCATTTCTTTACATATTTTAAATAATAAAACTCGTAAGTAATATATTTACTCATTCATTAATAAAAATTACTCGCTTTTGAATAAAAAGTTCTGTCTCTTATTAATTTATTTTTCAATATGAGCATTCAATATGAGTTTATAATTATATCCACAGCTTAAGTATTATTTTATAAAAATGATTACTTTATTTTATTCACAATAATATATTATTAAGTTTACGGCAAGCTTAATAATTTATCATAATGATTATAGTCTTAAGTTTTGAATTTAAATGTATTCTTTCATAGTTTAGTTGAATGATTCTTAGTTTGATTATTAGTTCACTATAACGACACTGCACTGCAGTCTATATAAGAGAAAATAATTCAAAAAATTATATTCACAATAAATATAAAACAGAATAAGTAAAAAATAAAACTTTTTAACTTTATTACACTGGTATTGCAAAATCATTTTAAAAATTCTCAAAATTATTTTTCAACTAACATCAATACGCTACAAAATTTAATCCTCGACTATAGGAAAAATCCTATTGTCAACTTTTATACTTTTCCTGAACATATACTACCACATTCTTAATAACCTATACCTTCTCTTTTTTTCATGAATATTTTATATGTTTTTCTCACTCTTGCTATAGTATTAAGAGAAAAAATCGTACTACGCATAGCCAATGGCGCATTTTTCCCCGGCATACTGGTTGGTCATTGGCGGGGGATATGTCAGTGATAAAAAAACAGATAGGGAAATAATTGAAAGCTACTAAAAAAAAGCAAAAGAGAAAAAGGTCCCTGTTAAATACAAGCAGTTCCCTTTGTGTTCGGCCATGACGGAAAAAGAATACAGAACAAGCCACAACCCCTTTATAAATGTTACTGCTTATTCAGTGCATTTTACAAACATACTAAAGACATCCTGTTGATAAAATTTAATCATTTAATTCATTTTACCATTTTGTTTAACAATTGTTTAGAAATCATATACAATTAAATGAATTTGTTAAAGAACATACATAAAAAAATCATTGTAGTTGTGACTTAGCTAAGTAGGAACCTGACATAAGGAACCATTTTAGATTGAAATTTGAGTAATAAAATCCCTATTAAAAAATGTTTTGATAGTAATTAAAAAAAAAAAAAAACCTTTTTTCACAATCTACTTATAATTTTTATTTATTCTAGAATGAATTAAACTAATTTTATAATAGAGAAAAGTTGTCTTTGGATTATTTTGGTATTTTAGAGCTACCATAGAATATTAATCCAAATTATTATTTAACAACTACATTAAAATGATACCTATACACATGAGCAGAAATTTGCCTAGATTGAATTTTTGAGAAATGTCCAAATAAATATATTAGTATATGAACTATTGAAATTATATTTTTAAAATAATTATATTATCTTAAGTAGAAAACTAAAAAAAAATTATATCAATTACTATAAAAATTGTGATTATTTGAAATATTTTGACTAATATAAACAATTGAGATTTTGTTAAAATTTAATGATAAGATTATTAATTAAAAGCATTTCGAATTTTTTTGGTTTATTTTTTGGTTATTTAGAAGTCAAGCATAAGTGACAAACACAAAAAAATATTTGGTAAAATTAATAAATAATCAACTGTGCTTTAGAGCTAATTTTTAAATTTTTATATTTTTCATTAGAGAAAACATTTTTAGAGAAAAATGAAATAAAATAATTTTTTTTTTTATTTTTCTTTATAACTTCATTTTTAAAGTTTGAAACATCAATCTTTTTTAGTTTATGATTAGTTTATTTTTTACAAAAATGAATTTCAATGATTATGAAATTATAATTGAAATTTTGTTGAAGTAACTTATAAATAAAACAAAATAAAATGAAATCATTAATTTTAATTTAGAACAATATATTTTACAATGTTTATTTTTAAGTACAATAATTAATAAGAATTTTATATTTATGTAACATCAATTACAATGATTTGTAATTAACTAGTGTACATTTTTTCACTTTTATTCACTAATACTTATTCTTAATTGAGAAGAGTGAGTATAATATCATAAAAACAAGATTCCAAAATATGTTTTCTAATCAAAAGTTATATAATCCTTAACCTTAGGTTGACAAGTAAATACGTCAGTTACAATTTCATATTTTCCGACTGAATCATCAAAGTAGAAATATAAGCATTTTTCATTTTCATCGGGATCATTTCCTAGTTCTATTTTGCTATAGAAATACCAATCTTTTTTCATATAAACATAAATAGATATTTTCAATTTTTTAGCAATTTCCTGGTAATTGAACTCATCAGCATCTCCTAAAACAAAAGTATTAAATATTAATTATAGAATATCATCATAATATTATACATATTATAATGTATTTTAAAAAGTTCAATATTATACCATTAAACTTAATACAAAAATTTATCGCTTAATCTAATAATTGATTACTATTACAGTAATTTACTTAAACAAATTCATAACAGATTTAAAATAAACGTTAAACGCAAGTAATTAATTTTATTGTCAATCTTGAATTGTTCGTGTATTAATAGGTTTTTTTTAACACATTTCTCATAACAAATTATGATTATAATAATAATACACCGAGATTTATTAAAAATAGTAGCATCGATTTTTGTTAAATTTTGATTTTAATTTTATAATAAAGCATTATTTATTTTATTTAATCACAATAAATTACAATTTTATTATGGAAACATTAAGTATAGTCAAGATCTATCGTAGTGGATTTGAATGATTCAAATTACTAATGTAAAACGATTTAATGCGTATTTGAAACAAATTAAAAACATATTTATCATATTCAACGAAAATTCAGAATTTTTTACTTATTATACAAGACAAATAATCAGAATGTTTTTCTTTTTTTAATTATATATCACATAAAATAAACTTTAGTATGAAATCATTTAGATGATGCAAATGTTTCGTAATTATACTTTTTCAACTCAATTTTTGAAAATGTTCTAGAACATATAATAACTTTTAACCAATTTCAAATTAAATCGTTTGAAGTGACTTGAATATTAAAAAAAAAAAACCAGTACGTTGGGGACGTGGACCCAGTATAGATGATATCTGACAGTGATTAAAATCACTATCATAAAAAATGCTTCGATGCAAATCTATAGATGGCGTTTAATTTTAAAAAATTGGTTGATTATTCTTAAAGGAAAATCAACTCATATTTCTATCATTATTCTAATTAGTAGTTGATTTATAAGTATAATTTATGAATAAATATCTATTAAACAAATTCAACGTAGTATGAAATTGATATTTAATAATTTAGTATTGTAATTTTTGTGGAGAATTTATAAAAAATTATAAAGTTTATAATTATATATATATATATATATATAAATATATACTTATATTTATGTATATACGTTTATATTACTTTTATGGCAAACATATATTAATGGGCTTTACGGAATATTTAGATAATAATTTGTTGTTAACTATGAATAAATGGTCTGCAAAAAATGTTCATCCGAGTCAAAAATATACTTTTTTATTCAATATTTCGTGCTTATTTCAAATTAGCAATTATATTTTTTCTATCACTAACAATTTTTGATATTATTACTAATTAGTTAAAAACTATAGGATCAAACTATAAGGAAAATAGTTCTGAATATTTCAATTGTATCATCTATTTTTTAATACCAAGAGTTACATAGAAATTATTAATATTTCTTTTGAAATGATTTATTACAATAAAAAGATAATTAAAAACACAAAATAATTGTTTTTAAATTATTACTGATTTTGATTTTTAATATGTCAAAAATATTCAGTGCATTATATCATTTTTAACCTATTTGTTTGGTCTTTTAAAGATGATTTTTTGAAAGTTTATAATAAAAAAAAAGTTTAATTTGTTACCATAACTTTTAGCTCAAGTTCAAGTTTGAAATTTACATTATTCAATAGAAAATTTTATGAGAATAGTAAATAGTAGTCTTAAGAGTAATATAGAGTCAGGAAATTGTATAACTACTTTTTACTGTAAATGTATCAGAAAAGCTCTGATAAAAAAATCTACTCAATTGAATGTATTATAAAATTTGATTATAATTTTAAAAGTTTTTTTGTTAAATTCAGGTGAAATTGAAAATAATTTTTTTTTAGATTTATGGTTTATATAGCAACATGTTACCAAAAAATTTGGAATATTATAGACGGTTAGTATCACACACAAATAAGGTTAAAAAATGAATATATCACAAAGTAAAATTATTTAATTTTGTAGTTAAAACCTAATTCGACAATAAATACTTTAAAAACATTAAAAATTAATGATTTTAATTTTTTGTATGGATAAAGCTGTTTAAAGTACTTTTTATTTGATTAAATAATTTTTTTTCAATTTTTGAGAGTAATATCTTACGATTTGTGATTTTTTGATGTATCATTGAAAAAAAATCGGTCCAGTGAAAGCTGAGAAAATGTGGCAACAGACACAAAAAATAAAATAAAAAAAAACACATCATAGTATATGTAATTCCTTCACAGCTTCGCATCGAAGTTAAAAGTTCTGACAATTGTTTCACTATGAAAAATTGACTGTCAGAGTGAAAAATTCACATTTTCTACAAAAATTTTTTTTTTTTCAATATTTGATAGTGATCCGGGAAGTCTGACAAAACAAAACTAAAATACTCAATGATATTAATATCCGCAATATAAAAGATGACAACCATTCTTATGGTTATTAAAATCAGGCATTTTTAACGATAATTGTTTTATTTTCAGCTTTAATGCCGCATAAAAATTAGAAAACAAGATTTTGGATAGTTTTTCTTTTATTATCTTAAAGTACATTGTATGAGCTTTTATTTAATGTTGGATTAAAGACGTTAGGTTTCTTGGAATATAATTAAAAATTGGAAAAAAAATTTTTGATATGATTATTCAGCTCTCATAGTATCTTGGTTAATGATTGAATTTTTTTAAAAAGTATGTTGTCTGCAAGGTTTAAAGTACTTTCAATACAAATTTCACAATAACCCGCCTTATTTTTAAAAAGTTATTTCAACATAAAAAAAAAAGAAATACTAATATCAATATTGGCTATTTTATAACTGTTATTCTTTAGGGCATTTTCTTTATTACGGGGATTAAGGGAAATTATTGCCACAATTAAAAAATGTGGCTTAGTAAAGCCAATAGCTTCTCGTCTAAGCATCGAAGCTAAAACTTTAATTTAAATGTATTATTGTCAGTAAAATATTACTTTTTTAAATATCAGTGTTAAAAGATTTAAAAAAGATATTAGTTAGCAACGTTCTACTTTTACCATAGCGAAGAATAATAATGCACTATCGTATTGCACTTTTTTTTCTTATACCTAAAAATTATGTTAACGCGAGTAGTATGTTATATTTCATAAATGGTTGCCGAACAGCCAAATTTTATTTACTCTATTTTAAATCTAACTATATAAAAAGTTTAACTTTTAAAAGCTACCCCTAAAAAGTATCTTTTAAGTTTTTTAAATGAGTAACTAAAAATATATCGTAGTTCACAATTATAAATAAAACTTTATCCAATACATTTTTGTGAAATTATCATTAATTTATAAAAAAATTGTGTAATATCATACTGTATGTCAATTACATTATGTTGAACCAAATCTTAAAGAAAAATATTTTATAAAACCTTAAATGTTAAAAATTCAAATGAATCTTGATATTACATACTTAAAAAGTAAGATTTTATAAATTTATAAGTTTCTTACTTGATGTGAATCCCAATTTTTCTTTTAAATATTTCCCATGGTCTTCCTCACCACTTAAGTATAAAGATAATCCAAAAAAAAAATCTTCATTTTTTGAAATTATTCTTATTGTAGTCTTTGGTTCATGTAAACATTTTTTATGAAAAAGCCACATAGTTTTTCTTTTTTCTATTTGTAAATTCTGGCATATTGTTTCTCGACACACGTCATCGATTGGATTAAAAAATCTTTTTCTATCTTTTCGACATATATCTTCTATCTATAATATAAAATACATGTGTTATTATATACACATTATATAATTATTGTTACAATTCGATATTATTATAATATTTTAATTAACAAATTTAATGACATTATATGTAAAAATATAACAATATGATACATATAATTTTGAATATTTATGAAAATGTACCAATGTAACTTGATATAAAAACATATCATTGATATTAAAAAAAACACGAAGTAATAAACAATATTTAATAGTAATGTGTAAGTCATAAGGTAATAAATAATGTGTAAAATATTATGGAACAAATGGTAGATTATTATAGAAAAATATATAATAAATTACTGCAAACAGCTAATAAAGAAATAATGGTAGCGTCAGTGATCACTCTCGCCTAAAAAAATACCTCCAAATTTTCTATAAAACCCCAAATAATGCTCAGTATCTCTCAGTTCACCGTTCACTAAATTTGACACATTTGCAAGAAGTGGCTAAAAACACCGTACATTTATATTACGAAAAAAAAAAAGGAAACAACGTATATTTATTTTAATGTATTTACTAGCAACATTAAGGTAAAAAAAAAACACAGTGATACAGTAGAGATAAGTATAGATGATCAATGACAGTAATTAAAATCACTATCATAAAAAATTCTTCAATGCAAATATGTAGATAGTGTTTAATTTTTAGAAGGAATTATTCAATTATTCCAAAAGAAAAATAAACTCTTATTTCTTTATTTATAACCTGATTACAATTTTTATGATTTAAAGGTATAATAGATGAATAAATACATATTATAATAATTAAACTTATAGTAAAATTGATATTGAATAATTTATTATTGTAAATTTTACAATGAAATTATAAAAAGTTCTAAAGTTATTATATAAATTTATAAGGAATCTGATTTCCTAAATATTCCTGTACTATACAAGCACTGTGTATTGAAAAATTTTTATTATATGACACAAAAATTAACTTATATTACATTTATTTATTTATGGGTCAATTAGTCTTTTGAAGACAATTTATTGGTACAAATGTTTATCTAAAAGTAAATCACATTGCCTTTAAATTAATGGATATTTAAGGGTGTTAGTATTTCCGAACAAGTGTTGATATAAAATTTTTTTACACTGATATTTCCTTTTTTAAAACCCTATTATATAGAAAAAATGTACTGATTTTAACAATCATAACATTTGCTAAATATTCCACTTTTAGAACACAAAGTAAAACTGTGCTATTGCCATTTTTAAATTTTAATAGGTAGCCATGTCACCCTGGAATTAAAATCTTATTTTGAAGTTGAAACTAAAAAAAAAATTTATGACAAAATCGATAGTTTCTTCATTTTACAACGAAACTAAACATGAGGAGATCGCAACTATAATTTATAGTATTTTTCATATGTTTTAATATGTACCATTATTATACCTAATACTGTTTTTCACATTATGAACTATGTAATATTCTTTAAGTTCATCCCTTATACTTTGAAAGGATGTCAACTTTGTTTTTTTAAATGGGAATACATATTTTGAATTTAATAAAATGTTTGAGTTTTTAATTTAATGGTAAATGGCATTTGAATTTTTAATAAAACTTTATTAGTTTATAATATCTTAAACATTTAAAGTTTCAAATTTTTGAGTTAATATACAATACACTAGAGATTACAAATACAGGTAGCTAATTAGTTTTTTATGATATCGGTATTCGTAGGTAGACAGAATTTCTTATCAATGATAATATAGCACATTGTTATGAGTTTTTAAATACACTAACTACTAATTCAGAAAGTATACCTATTGATAGTCAAAATTGCCAACAAACACTTTGTGCCTGTGACAGCTATCTCATAAAAAACCAATTAGCTACCTGTATTTGTAATCCCTCGTGTATTATTTATGTATATAACTTAAAAATTTGAAACTTTAAATGTTTATATCTTATAAACTAATAGAGTTTTATTAAAAATTCAAATGCCATTTACCATTAAATTAAAAACTCAAACATTTTATTAAATTCAAAATATGTGTTTCCATTTAAAAAAACAAAGTTGACATCCTTTCAAAGTATAAGGGATGAACTTACATACAATGATATAATTAATAATTCTGCATGTTTATGTATTTAAAATTCTCATTCAAATAAAAAAGTGTGAATTTTCAATACGCCTAATAATCACACTTTTATTTTATTATTATTCTAAATACAGAATAAAAAAAAGTTTATCAAAGAAGAATATTTTGAAAAAGCGAACAAAATTTTAATTGTTAATGTTTTAACTATATTTAACTGTAATTGTATTTAAAAGTAATAAAGATTGCCTTACCGTTTTTTTTAGCTGTACAAGAATAAAAACAAATAGATTTATTAGTGATCTATATTTATTTAAGTTATTAAATTTTTGTATTCTAGAGGTAAATAATGAAAAATTGAATTTAAAAATAGAGGACATGATAGTTTACTACTAGTATTCAGATTAAATCTTTATTAATTTTGAGCTCACTGATTTTAACTGTTAAATGCTTACAAATACCAGTTACCAATTTAATTTTAATTAATATTTATATAATTTATCATTTTCATTATAATATTTCAAGTTGAGAATTGATCACTTTTTAGAAGTTATATTATTTATTTAAAAGGGGATATTTTTATTCTCAAATACTTAAGAAAGGAGAAATATTCAGTAAAGACCATAGTTAAAATGTTTTTGTAGACATCTATCCAGGGAATAAACGAAACAGTTTTGTTTAACATTTGTACCAAGCCTAAGATTGAGTGGTCTCTAAGTTACACAATAGGGCATAACGTTCACAATAATACTTAGATGTATTTTTTGATTTAATAGCAATGAATGATTTAATGGAAAATCAAAACACATCATTAACTTAATTAATATAATGAAAAAATATATTTTGATATATTTGTAAAAATAATAAAAATTTTCTTACTGGAACAGGTAACTGTAGAAGAAATAAAGTAAAAAAATGATTATTTTTACAATTCATGATAAGTTTATTTATTAATGTAAAATTAATTTGCTTACTGTTATACTGGCATCCTATACACAAAACAAAATAATAATAACAATTATTGATGGATACTGTTAAATACAATTATTGAACTCCTCTGCACAGTTTAAATTCTAATGCCGTTAAAAAATATTTTTACCAGGTATAGAAATTTATTATCCAACAGTTTTTGTGATAAATAAAATAACACTAATTTTAATAGATAATGAGGGGTTAAATTATTATTATACTAAAATGTTTCATAGTTATTACGAAAAGGCTATAATTTTTTTGTAAATAAATTTTATTAGGTGTATGTAAAAAGGAATTTTAATTAAAAGTAATTATATAGTAATTAATTATTAATATTTATAAAATATAATAAATATGTAATATATAGTAATAGGAGAATACTGTATCAATTACGGACATAAATGTATGTTTTTACCTTGTGATAATACATGATTATGATTAAAAAAAGTATTCCAATAATTAATAATTTAAATTTTATATACTTTTTATGAAGTTTGAAGTGTTAAATTATTGCTTAATTACTTATTAGTAATTATCTCAGAAACTAGATTCTTTGGGACAAATTTGAAACCAGATTTGGAATCAGCAGCACAATTCCAAAAATGATTCATTATTAAAATAATCTAAATATTGTAAACTACAGAAATTTTTTAACTTCGATGCAAAACTGATAAAATATTAATTTTACCGTAGTATGTTTATTTTCTGGGTCTGTACTTATTCTCAGCTCTCACTGCACCGATTTTAATGAACAAAGTACAAAAGATCACAAATCCTATCTAATTAAAGATATTATAAAAATAGAATAATTTCCCTTGTTTCTTGTAAATGTGAAAAATCCCCCAACATTTTTTTGACATATTTTAATCTTTTTAATTTTAAACTGCCATAAATTTTTGAAAAATGAATGAATCAAAACTACTATTTTTATAAATACCCCAGGTATTTCTTTTTTCTTTAGTACTTATATTTTTTTGTCAATCTGACGTTTACTTACTTACAGGAGTGGATAGAAAATGGGAACTTTTGCACATAAAGTAAACTTTTTTAACTTAATTTTTAATAATGTATTGGTCTTGTGATGATGTGCATTTTTCTTTATGTCTGTTCATAAAAATTCTCGGTTCTCTCTGAACCGATTTCAATGATCAATATGTCAAAAAAAAAATCTATTTTAATCTAATTGAACTTATAATTATCAAAAATTGGAAAAAAATCCTTTTATTATAGATATTTAGAAAAATATCTCAATATAAGGACATCTTCAATAAATATTTTCTGCATTTTAAAACTGCTATAACTTTATTTTAAAAAGAAAGTTTCTGATGACATAACTATATAAGGGAATATTAGATAAATAATCTTTCTTTGGTTATACTTTTATGACAATTTAATAAAAAACCTAATTACAGGAAAGGTTTGAAAAATCCATTCATTCATGTTCATAAAAATGTTTGTAATTGTTCCGGAACGATTACATTTTTCAAATCTATACGAAATTAAATTTTTGAAATGTATTATAAGATTATAAAAAATGTCTTCTGGCAACTTTGCCACTATGAGAAATTGTCCATCTAAGTAAAATATTCACAATTTTTTTTTAATAATAATACTTAATATGAAGTATTGTGTTTTTAATTAAATATCTCCACAAATAATAGTAGTATAGAATTCATTTTTATACTTAATTACGTGAAAAATTCATATCACTGGCTTATCAAATGAAACGTTTTATAATCATCATTAACTAAAAATTACATTGCTAAACTAAATTTTTGTACCGATTTCAAATCTGCAGTTAGATTGGTTCTATAACCTTTTATATTTGAGACAATTACTAATTAGTAAAAACGAATATTTATATATAAAACATTAATTAAAAATTAAATAAAATGTTTTAAAATTATTATTGATTTAAATTTTTAATATGTTAAAAATTTTGTTCAAGATGTCATGTTTTCGTATCGAATCCAAAAATGTATAATAGGCAGATTTTAAAAAGAATTTTTGAAAT